AAAGTTTATAAAGACTATTCTGCTTCATAAATTTATTCTACTACTCTTTGTAATTATCATTGTCAGAATTAGATGTAGCTTAGTCAATCTTTGATTATTAGCCTTATTGCTCATTTTACTATTCTTCTTGGATATATTATAGCCTATTGTTTCCACCTAAAACATCAATATTTATTTTACTATCCTTATTTTAGAGGACTAAATTGCTTTGATTATCAATATTGAGTTTAGTTACTTATTCTTGGATGTTAGTTTGTTAATACTACTTTTCCAAATCGATTTTAGTTTAAATTTAATCAAAGTAATTTTCAGTTGCAACTTACTCAGTCTACAGGTTTACTTGAAATTAAGTTTACAAGTTTTCTTGCTAAATAGTTTATTATTATTATTATTCTATTTATAAAGATGTACTTTTCTGTTTGGTTTTTAAAGACTCGTTTTCAGCTAGCTTTTATTTAAGATTGGCTTATGACCTTTTACTTTTGCTCTAATTATCATATTTAGAAAGTTTCTTTTTTTCTTAAACAACTTAAGGGAAACAGATGTTCCAAAGATCGTAAAAAGATGACATTTCTTGTTGGCCATATAAATTAAAATACTTTAAGATTAGAATAGATACAAATTATTTTCTAGCTTTTTTCATACAATTTTAAGAGTGACCTTCACTCAAATTAGTAATATCTATGGGTTCCAAAAGAATTTGTTGAAGCTTTGTCGTAAAAGAGTATTATTAGTTGTATTTTTTGATATAATTAAAATATTAATCAATGATTCCCATATATTTAGGCTTATTTTAGTCTATTTATTTGTGGATAAATGCTTTAACTGATTAAGTAGATTATAAATTAAGGTGATTAGCGATTAGGGAAGATGCAAGTGATTCCATAAAATAGCTCTTAATAGAATCTTAAAACCATTTATTTAGTAAATTTCTTTAGCTTTATAAGCTTTTTTTGCTTGATTAAGCCAAAAAGAGAACGTTCTTCATAATAATCAACTCATCTTAGTTAATTTAGCTCATTTCTTTGGTAATTTTTTGAGATTATTTTTTGTTGCTTTTTATCTAATTAATTGTTT